GCGGCTTTGAGCTGCCTGGACTGGAACTAGATGACTCGTTCGTGTCCAGCCGTGTCGGTCTGCAGCAATGCACATCCGATGGCGTAATCGGAGGTATCGCAGACGACGCTAAACGGCTTCGTCTCGTCCGGCAGGGCCAGGACAGGGGCCTCTTGGAGACGGGCCTTGATGCTGTTAAAAGCATCCTGGTGCTCTTGATCCCAGCGTCAGTCGACGTCCTTCTGAAGGAGACTCGACAAGGGCTTAGCGAAGCCCGCGTACCCTGCGCTGTACTTGTGAAGGTAGTTGGCCAAGCCCAACCACTTTCGAAGATCCTTCTGGGATCGGGGCGTCGGCCATGCTGCTATGGCCTTGACCTTGTCTGGGTCAACCCGAACGCCCACGTTGCTTACGAAGCAACCGAGAACTTTAATCTCTGGTGACGCGAAGACGCACTTGTCGATGTTGGCGTAGAGCTGGTTCGCTCGCATTACGTCCAACACTCGACGGAGGTGTCCTAGATGCACCTCCATGGCCGTCTTGCCTCCCTCGGCACGGCTATGGACGAATATGTCGTCGAAGTACGTCAGTACGAAGGTACGCAAAGGGCGGAGCAATTGCGTCACCAGGCGATTGAACGTCGCCGGGGCGTTAGACAAGCCCTGTGGCATGACGAGCCACTCCCAAAGCATGCCGCTTGGAGTGCTTACCGCGGTGAGCGGGATGTCGCTCTCTCGCATCAGGATTTGGTAGTATCCGTCTACCAAATCCAGCGCACTGTACAGTACGCTCCCGGCCATGTTGTTCAACAACACATCCTTTCGTGGGATTGGTGTTTGGGCCGGCACCGTTGCGTTGTTCAGCTTGTTATAAGCGTGAACCAGACGCCACTTTCCGTTCGGCTTACGAACGCAGAAAGTCGGCGTCGAGTGCGGGGATTTCGACTCCCGCATCATGCCTGCCTTCGCTTTCGCGGCGAAGAAGGCATCAATGACCTCGCACTGGTCGCGCGGGAGAGGCCATTGCCTTGTGACACAATACTTTGTGCCGGGCACGAGAACAATCTCGTGCCGTACGCCTCGATCCGGTGGGAGTTGGGTCGGTGGGTGTTTGTTCACCACGTCCGCATACTTCGTCACTAAAGGATACACCGGGTCCTTGGGGTTCTTGAAAATCTCAGAACCCAAGCGCGCCTGACGCTGCTTGTTCATGTCTTCTAGGACGTTCTCGTCCAAGACAGAGGAGGAGTTCAGCTCCTCCTGAGTGGTCTCAGGTCTCATGAGTACCATCTCAGCAATCTCTCCAGCCTTGAGGTTGGTCAGGAAAGACTCAGCCGTCATTTCCTCGAGGTGCAGTATCTCTGCAACCTCTGGCAACGGTTCCAAGTGGACACCAGATACCTTGACGGGTAAATCGGTCTCGCCATCGAAGATGTGATAACACTCTTCCACCGGCCTTGTCGGAGGAGCCCGGGCCCTGGACTCCGAGTCGCTTGAAGCGACGTCGATCGGAACGAAGTTCGGATCCGACTTGAGGCGGCGGCGGCGTCGTTGACGACGGCGACCGTGACGTCGGGCTTTGCTGCCCACGTCTAGGGATATCGGCGCTACGACATCCGAGGCACTCGTGGCCTCGTGTGGTACTATGATACCCACACAGGAAGCGTGTTCGACGCCTTCCTCTTCAGTTAAGGTCTGGGCGACCGCGTGTGGCACTGTGTTACCCACACAGGAAGCGTATCCGACGTCTTCCTCTTCAGTTATGGTCTGGGCGACCGTGAGTGGAACTCTGTTACCCACTCTGAACACGCTGTTCTCAGTGTTCGTGACAGCTGCAGCTATCTGCGGAACTAAGTTACCCGCCTGTGGACCTAAGTTACCCACTTGGCCAGCGCCTCTTCTGGGCGCGGCCACCATCAAAACATCCTCGAAGTCGTCATATACGTCGACGACTCCCAAGCATATGCCGGATGCTTTGGTACCCTGGCAGCCCTTGCGGGTGCCCCGGGTCCTGACAGAGGTGGGAACATGACTCACCAATGCTCTGTCGGACTGCGCAGGGCGGTTGGCACCGATTTTCGCCAGTCGATCCAGGGCTCGTGCTTCTCAAGCCAGGGCATGCCCAGGATCATATCATATGGATCCATATCGGGAACAGTGAACTGTTCGAGGCTGTCAAAGTTTTCAAACTTGACGGCCAGATCCACTTGGACGTTGGGGACAGTGACGACCTTCCCGTCGGCCAGTCGCACTGACACCGTCCCGTTGCCCTTGCTTTCTCTCAAAGCATCGGACAACTTGTTGCTGTTGCGAGCAACCGTCTGGCGGCGCGCGAAATTCTTCGACGCCCCAGAGTCGATCAAGATTCTAAAGAGATGATCGTATCCCCGTACACATCCATGTACTACGAGCAACCCGCCGCTGCTCTTCGCCGATTCGAGAGTGCGAAAACGCTCAGGGACTAAGTTTCCGTGGTACGCGCCACCCGCGCACCCATCACGAAGACTTAGTTTTTCCCCAGTAGGGCGCCCCGCCCCTACTGGTTCCCTGTGTTCCCCTGTGCCCGGGATTCTGGCTTCTGCCAGCGACCCTTGAGGACGGGCTTGGGGAAGGACGGGCTTGGGGAAGGACCGTCTGCGGAGTCTTTCCGCGGGACAGTCACGCTTGAAGTGGCCCATCTTCCCACAGCCGAAGCAGCGGATGTCACGCTGTTCGGCGGACCCGAGCTCCATGGGAACTGGTCCGTTGGGGCTTGTTCGACCGGGAGCCGACAAGGAACCCCCAGGCCACGCTGAGGCCGCCGTACGCGCCTGGCGATGGCTGTACGCTTCTTGAAGAGCCACTTGAATCGCCTCTTCAAGGGTGCTTGACTGCACCCGGAACAGCTGAGTGCGTGCGGGGCCCACTCGAAGGCCGTCCATGAACACAGGCATCTTGATGTGTTCATTGAGTGGGTTTCCCACTATAGACGCCGTGAGCTCCCGTATCTGTTGCACATACTCGTGCAGTTCACGCCTCCCTTGTTTACACGAGAGGAAGCGCGAACGCTGGCGGTACTCGTAGCTCGCCGGGAGGAACGCGGCTCGGAGCTGCTCGCACAGCTGAGCCCAGGATGTGAAACATCCAGGGGATGTTGCTTCCCATGTGTACACCCAGCTCTTAGCACGGCCGCTAAGGTTGGAGAGTGCAAAAGCAACACGCAGTTGCTCGGTCGAGATCAGAGCCGCGTCCATCGCGAGCTCTACTTCTCGGACCCAGAAGTGAAGGTTCTCGCCTTCCTTCCCTTCATACGGCTTAACCTTCAGCCGTATTGGCTTCGGGTGAGGCGGATTTGCTTCCGCCGCCGGAGTCTGCAGGTTCTCCCGCACATGCGCGATGAGGTCCTGCTCGTACGCGTCGAATGCATTGACGCGCTCGAGCTGCTCAGCCGGTGTTGACACCACGAGGCTCTGCAGGGCCTCCATCCCGAAGATGCCTGCCATCTTCCGAACCGACTCGAACTGAGAGTCGTTCATATGGGAGAAGTCGTTCCTATCCATGGCAACGAACTTCGGAGAGGTTCAGGTAGTCTACCCGCGGTGGCGTGGATTGACTACGAGTGCTACCAAGTCTGACGGGGTCACACAGCACCTTGCGCTAGAGGAAGTTATCTTCCGAGAGTATACAAACGCTCAGTGAACGGCAGGTCACAGGTCCCCTCTTTAGTTAAAGAGAGCGAAGTGACCTAAATAAGGTAGATTGTAAACTGAGTATATTTATAGGTAGGTCAAGTTTGGGCCTAATACAAACTATAAGTTACCTATAGAAATGCAATGTCGTTTAACCAATGGTTGGCTTTGAACGACCTTGGTACCTTGTACCAAATATCCCGGAGTATGACGTGTCATATCCCGAAGTGTGAAGTGTCTCACTTCATGTAACCAGGGTACACTTAGGGCTACGTACCCCGTTACAGTTGTGGTGACGACATAGACCTGACGTTAGACTACGCACCAGCAATACAACATTTCCGGCGTCATCGTCACTGGGGAAATTAATGCTCACGGCTGACCTTGGTACTGGCCTGCGGCGCTCTTGAAGGCGATCGGAAAGTGCCTAAAGCTCGTTTTAAATGTGGCGGATTCTCTCCCGACTATCGCCTATTCCGCCTTCGATTAACTAACTTTTGAAGCTTAGGTAACACTATCATCACAACCAGTTATATTTTTTCGAATTGATGTTATCGAAGTCATCTACCTGTTTAAATTGGTCGACTCGAAGCTGAGGTTAGGAAAACAAAATCGTTCGACAACTGACATTTTTAGATTACACAGTTCAGCCCAAGACCTCTATTACTAATAAGACTGCACTTTTGCTCAACATTCAGCTCATATTTTGATGTCAGTTAAATGTTGAGCGAGATGGCGTAAGGGCTAAAAGGAATTCGTAGTAGGGGTTATCACGGTTGGAAGGTACGTTTGACCTGCCAATCAAGTCAAATCTTCGCGTTCCTTTCATTTCCTTCCTTGAAAAAGTGGAAGGTTGCAAACCACCAGCGAAGGTTAGCTATGATTGGTGGAAAACCATGCCAGAAGGTTTGATTTGGCTGGTTTTGAATACGCGGTAGTTCCAGCTTCACTTTTCTGCACGGTTTTGGCCCTCACAGCTGACGGGTGAAGGATTGACATTGAATTGGCTGACCAAACATGCTTACTTTCCAACGTAATAACCCCTAGTATAACAGTTTATACCCAGTTATTTAACTGCATGTTTACGTATTAATAAGTTACAGTACTCGTAAAATATTTTCCAGTACATGTAACTTATTACCGTAGATAGTACATATACTGTAGTGTGTACAATCTACGATGTTTACGGTATTACGGTACGCTTTTCAACACACAGTATGATTACGCAGCGTAAGTATGTAAGCTGGTTTGCGAATTGCGAAGTGGTGGTAGCCGGTACAGTACTGACGCATCGACCACCGCAAACCAGCCCACACTGTGGACACCTCAGTCACCAAGACCTACTTTAGCAGAGATGAGTCTCTACTTGATCGTGCTCCTATTCGTTGCTGTTCTTTTGGCAAACATAGAACAAGCCACCTCCTTCGAGCTGACCACTGCCGGCCATCGAGCTGCCATCCACCCCCTCGCCGACCATCAGAGCCTTGTCGCTCCTAAAAGGCTGATGCGACGTAATGATGAAGACAACGATGAAAGAACAGCCGTAAGGGGTGCAACAATCACAGAGCTGGCAACAAAAGTCAAGGGCGGCGCGTCAAAACTTGTTCGGAAATTGGTGAACATTAACAACTATGAAGATCAAGTGCTGATGAAACTGAAACTCAGTCATCATGTTGATGACGCCTTGACAAGCTCGAATCTGCAGCGTTTGGCTGAAGAAGTCCAGAAGATCAACTCAAAGAACACCAAGAAAACAATCTCGGTGGTTGGAACACTCACCTTTAAGTACGGAGATGACGCTCTGGCTAGTGCGCTCGTGAAGGCAGAAGGGAATCTGGGATCCACGTTGCAAATAAAAACTCTACGGCAGGACCAACTGAGAAGGTGGCTTGACGGAGGCAACTCCGCTGACGACGTTGCCAAGCTACTGAAGTTTGACAACAATAAAATGTATAAAGTGCAGAAGTTGGAGGTTCTGGACGACTACGTCAAGCTCGTCAACCCTCAGAATTACTACCATACCCTGCTCAGCGCCTTGATCAAAGGGGTTCCCGATGAAAGGAAGCTGGTGGCTCTTTTGAGTGCTGCGAAGGAGAATGCTCGTTTTACGAAGACGGCAAAGTAAGTGGAACTGCATTTAATCCGTAAGTGGGCGGGTGAACGTCAATTGCCGACAAACGTCTTTCAATGGCTAAAGCTAGACGACAACGCGGAGCACGCTTTCGCTCCCCATATGTTTTATAGATTTGTGAAGTATGTCGACGATTACAACCGCAAGGAGCCCACAAACGCAAAGTCAGCGCTTGAAATTTATCTCAACCGTTTTAAAGACACTACGGTGGCGAACAAACTCGCGGCAGTAATGGACGACGGACGTGCAAAGCATTTCGCGAAGCAGTTGCAGACAGAGCAGTTGAATCGCTGGGTCAAAAGCAAGAAGTCTGTTGACGAAGTATTCGGGATGATGAAGTTTGCAGACGCTGAAGGCGCAGCGATTACTCGTCGGAAGATGGACACGTTAGTAAAGTTCATTGAGTCGGAGGGTGGGGGAAAACCATTGATCAATACGTTGACCAAGAACTTTGGTGGAAAACGTGAGCTTGCGTTGATTCTGGAGAAAGTAAGCAAGCGTGCAGAAGCTACCCCATTGCAATTTGCCACGTGGATAGCGAAAGACATTAGCCCGGAAAACGTTATATCCCGTATTTTCAAAAAGGGCGTTGGCACAGCTTCGAGTGAGGAGAAAGCGATTGCGAGAAAGTTCCAGGCCTTCTATCAGAGTCGAGCAAGCGGATGAATGAGCGAAACGAAGTCTTAGTAGCTAACCTTTCATTGAGAAATTGACTAATGGCTACAATACTCCACTTACACCGATCTGAGGGGAAAATATTTGCATTTTTAGAGAATAAGTCTTGTATGGATACGAATTTTGTAAGTCCTCATGATGAATAGCTCATGTCTAAGAAGGGATGGAAACCCTTCATGTTATATCCACTATTGGAGGATGGTTGGCAACAACTTTAAACTTTTTTCATTTTACTTCTTCTGAGAGGCGGATACTTATTTTTTGTCCATTCGCATACATGTTACCTGTAGTTTTTGAATAATTCCGTGCCGTTTATCGTACTTAAGTGGTTTTATCAAATAAGGGCCTGGTTCGCGCCAGCGATTACTACTACAGACAACGACGCTGAAATCCGCCCGGTGTCTGAACACTATCCTTCATATAAAATAAAAAAATTACGCGCGACAAGAATACCCGCCCAGTTATTTGATTGGTTGAAAGTGGCAGTTTCAGCTCAAAGTCTGAACAACAAAGTACAAAACGATTCCAAAATGTACAGAACCGATGCACGAATCAGCACATCCTGGGTTGATTGTACAAAAACGATCAAATACGGCATACGGATTGGCTGAAACTGGTTTCATTAGTGGGAAAACCATGTTTGGACTCGGGCGTGTTTCATGGCGGATTTCACCGTCGTTGTCTGTACTGTGATTTGCAGCGATTTTGGCAAAACGAGATTAGATTTGCTGGATTTATAAGTATTAAGAGCATCCTCACCTACAAGTGAGTACTTCGAAGTAAAACTAATAATAAACGTAAAATGTTTCATGACCAAAAAATAAAATCGTGCAGGATAGCTTTGCTCATTACACAAGGCCAGAAAGTACACTTCTGATCAGACTTGCGCAAAACGCCGAAATTTCTGACTGTGCGTATACGTATGAGCAAAGCTAGATTTATTCTTTAGTTCCGGGAAGGATTTACGTTTAGTTTTACTCACTTATCGGTGTAGATGCTCTTATAAATAACTGGTGGTGGATTTAAGTGTACGATAATGCGAGCTCATAAAACCGACAATTTATGGAAAAGAGGCCAGAATTGCACCTTTGAAAGTGCAATTCTGGCACAGATGCTGCATTTCGTTCCGCTCCGCCCGTAGTTTACAATCAAATAGGTAGGTATATACCAACGCAAACATAAGGCTCATTAGGTCAGACGTGTTCATAAAGCGGTCCTATTACTAGCCGCTCAGGAGCTAATGTAACTAGACTCGCTGTGCAACGATGAGCCTGGGAGATAGATCTAGGGGGGTCGTGCAAATTAGATATTATTAAATGTTTTGGAAGTCCGATGCTGATGTTAATATTTTTTGGAAGTCCGATGCTGTTGTTGTACTTATTCACACACAGATCGATGTTCCCATTGAATGATTAAGCTGAGTGCAAGCTTTCGAGTGAATGGAGAATGTCCAAGCACAGTCGTACCACCAACCACCATACATTTATAAGGTGCTGGCAAATTCACAGCTAAGACGAATCCACAAAATATGAAAATTAATCTAAAAATGATTTTCGTCGCAATCGTTCTGCAAAATGCACGATGAATTCATGATTGCATTTTACAAATCACCTGATTTGGAAGTTTTAATTTTGCAAAGCTTTATATTGTACCACATATTCATGTTGCATGAACGTTGACCCAGTTGACGACAAAAAATAATCCTCGTTGGGCTTCCCACAGCTAAAATACGCTACCTATCTCCAAGTAGAAGTAACTACTTTAATAGTAGTTGGTGCCTTTGCTTGGCAAACTACTACATGTAGCTACTACACGTAAAGTAGCTCAGTAGTAATTCGGTGATAACCCTTTCGTGGTCAAACGCGGCGTTTGACATGATTTTCAAAAGAGGGTGGGAAAACGACCCTTTAAACGCGGCATTTTTGCCGCGTTCTACAAAACCCACTCCTTGTTTCGTTTTTGCCAGTCAGATCTTCGGATTACGGCTTCTGATAGATCCTTTCTGAGCCGACTGGCGAAACTGAGTTGTGAATATCGCGAGAGCGCGTATTTTTTTCGTCCAGCCTAGCGTCATATTTGCGGTTCGGCTGGTAGCCGCATGAAACGCAAGGAAAAAAGGTGTTGTAAACAAGGCTAGCAGATCCTAAAACCTATCATAAAAATTGTCGAGGCTTCAGCCCCAGAGCCACCAATCGTGCTGGTATCAACTATAGTATTCCTAGGTTAGATGCATGCCTTCTCTCTCAGTATTTTTTTGATATGCGGACCAACTTCACCGACGCACAAGACAAACGAATTGTAGCGCTTGCACTCGAGTATAAATCCCAACACAAGCGAGTAGAGTTGAAGGAGTTGGCGCGGGCCATGAGGAGTAAACATTCTGTCCAAGCGCTTGAGAACCGGCTGCGTGCTCTGAAGCGCACGTATGGACGTGATCTATCAAGATTTCCACCGTGTTTTTTCTCCACGTCGACGCCAACATTCTCTCACAAGCAGCATCTTCGTCCATTGGAACCGAGCCAAGCCGAAAGCGCTATCCGCGATATCTTCAGCAACGTTTCGGCCGCGGACGTTCGTCAACAAGCGGGAAAGACGGATGAGAACGCAGGTGAGATGCTGCCTGCCGCTATATCAAGCGTGATTCAAATGATTGGAGTTATGCATCGTGACGACGTCTTTCTTGACATTGGTGCTGGCCTGGGGAATGTTGCGGCGCAGTTTGGGATTCAGACGATTGCAAGCCAATGCTAGGGAATCGAGAAACGAACGGAGGTTTTCTTCGAGGTGTTCATTGTTTGCGAGAGCATGCACCAAGGCTGCTATTACTCCACAAAGTGTTTTTGAGCCAAGGAGACGTTCTTGATACGCCACTTTCGTCGCGTTTACCATTTCAGCGTGCATCAATATTTTTTCTAAACGATTTCCTGTTTGATGAATTAGCAAAGCTGGCCGAGCACGAGCAGCTGTATATGATGCCGAGAGTACGTTTGATCGTTTCTACGTCTCGCTATTGTCCTCGCCCATCGCGATTCCTGCCGAAGAAGATTTTGCTCCAAGTGGAGGCTCGCGAAAATCACGTATGGACGGGGTAGCTGGAAGTCTCCTCCAATCCCAATTTACATGTACACGACTGTCCAGTGACTGAAGATTATAGTGCGTTGATGCTGAGACGGTCATTGAGACAAGTATCACGGGGACAAGGCAGGCAAGTGGCCGAAGACGAGCGAGGACGTGGTCTTCTTCACGATGTCGGTCAAGTTCAACAAGGCACTGGATAAGAAGGGCAAGGACATGTTCCTGTCGTACCTAGCCCATCACGAGAAGAAGGTGTCCTATGGCAGCTCGTACGTGAATTCGATTTCTGCGAACGTATGCCAAGCTGCCACCCGCGGGCGTGGTACACCAAGCGGCTGCCTGCTTTCGTAGAATCCGCATACACCGGCGGCGAGTCGCCGTAGGTGGTCACGTTCGAGCTAGTCATCCGGGGCAGCACCCAGCGCCTGCACTCGCTCGTGCTCAGGAAGGTCAGCACGCATGGTTTCAAGACCGACGGCAAGAGCGTCCATGAATGAGTGCCAGTCAAGAACCTCAACCAGTTCGAGGCCAAGGACAGGGTGGACGCCAGGCCCACAGGACAAGAGGCCCGCGGACTACGACGACACCCCAATGCCATCTTGGAACCATGTCACGACGACATCATTGGGGAGCGAAATATCACAGCAGTTGGCATAATACAGAGTCTCTAGAACAGAGACAACGGCGGCAATAGTTTAATCAAGATATATTCACGTTTACGCAAAATTTTGCCGTGTGACTCTACTCTGTTGGTTCGGTGGGCTCTGCTGAGGTTGTTATCTGCTTTCACTTTGTTGCCCTGGCGACCGGTGCTAATACATAGTATCTAGACCAGAGACAACGGCGGCAATAGTTTGTTCAAGATATATTCACGTTTACTCGAAAATTTGTCGTGCGACTCTAGGGATACAGAGTATATAGTGTTGTGATTGCTCTTCGCGTGGCAAGCGTGTGCCCTGAGGGGTCATAAGTTGAAGTGGGTCGAATGGAGCTATCTGATTGGCTGATCCCAAATGATCGGCATTGTTAATGCCAGGGTCGGATTTGTGCATATCCAGTCCACATACAAAACTCAAGTGATTTTTGTCGCCAACGTCTATGACGAGTATAGGCGTTGCCGACGAAATGTATCTTTTGTGTATGGATTTACATGTGATTAGGAGGACTACGAAGGAAAGTAGAAAGGAGCTAGCAAAGCAAGACAAGAACAACTAACTCAATAAAACTCACTTTCGGATTTCATTTTTTCTTAACACTCGACTTCTACAAGCCTCGAGCGCATACTCTCAATTTCTAGAACAGAGACAACGACGGCAATAGTTTAATCAAGATATATACACGTTTACTCGAAAATTTGTCGTGCGACTCTAGTCTGTTGGTTCGGTGGGCTCTGCTGAGGTTGCTGTCTGCTTTCCTTTTGGTGCCCTGGCAAACGGTTCTCATCTAATAGGCTGCATTGACTCGCTAGATCGTCTCCGACTAGTTAGGTAACGCATTTGCATTGAACCTTGCGCATGCCAACCTTGAGGACCTACGCAGATTCTTTTTTTCGCTGAAAAGGCCACTTTAAAGATAGAAGCGGTGAAACTTGTCCCAGCAGGTCCAAGTGCTCTGTGGGCAGGTGAATGGAGTTTCAGCGTCACCGTGCACAACTCGGCAAAGGCACGCGGTGTGAGTTAGACAGTAATCGGTTACCCCAGTCGCGTATCTTCCTTCATAGCGACAGACAACGCACTCGCGCTTTCTCCTGCTCTTATTCTTGTACATTTTCTTTGACGATATCGCCTCACACTGCGCCGGCAGAGTTGATGTCGGGACCATCGATAAGCCTGTGCTTGGAGGAGTAGCACTGGGGGTGGCTGCGGCTTCTGTGGCAACGCTGCTGCCGAACGGCATTCGTTTGTCACTGGGCGCTTCTCGCCAACGACCCGAAATGAGCTCTGATACTAAATCCGTAACAAACGTCCTGTGGGGGTCCCGATCTCTTGACGTATCGATTGCCATCCGCCGAGTCAAGTACGCGTTGGAACGCGCGATATCCACGAGTGCTAAGGCCAATTTTTTGTGCCAACGTTTGTAGGAATGACCATCAGCGATCGAGAATCTAGCACGTATCTGGTCCAAACGGTCAACACCTTGCATGTGTTGATTGTATTTTAAAATACAGGTGGGGGCAGGAAATGCACAGCTTGAAGCTCCAATTCGTCGTGTCACCATCGTGGTGGTAGATGGATAAGCATTGGTGACCATGGTGACAATGTTGCCGTCGCACCATGATTATGTTCGACAGCCACCGACTGCTGATAATCACCTTGAGAGCTCTCCTCTTTCTGCAGAACGGTGTGCTTAGGATAATGTTTGCTTCTGCCTCGCACTGTTCCTCGCCCGTACAACCCCTTCAGCTCTAAATCCAGCAGCAGTTGAACGCTTGTGTAGTAGTTATACATGTTGATAATCCGTCGAGAAAAAAAGTATGGCCGCACCACTTCAAGTACATGTTTGCGTACTTGTTGGACATCCTCTAGCTCCTCACGGAGCTGTTGCATCTCCTCTTGGCTCACCACGTTCTGCAAACGATCGGGAATATCGCTATTGCTGCAATGCAGACGGTAATTTAAAGCAATCCATGTGGTCGAGCAGCAAACTACATACATTCGAAAGTGATACTTTTCAGCAGGCTTCTGTGGATTGAACACAATGAGGCGACGGCCGTGGCGTGACCGGCAAGCAATGCTGGCTTCATCCAAGGCAAGGTCACGGCCTACTTCGACGTAGCGGCCTCCGGTACACTAAGCAAATTCAGCAAGGGTCGGATACGGGCGGCTGGATCTCTATCCACAGGCGACCCCGGTTCAGCGCGAAAGCTAAAACACCGACGAATCAACTTGAACCGACGTAAGCTCATCACGTTGTCCAAACTTGTAGATGCTCCGCCAAAAATCGCGTCTTCAGTCTATGCTCCCCAATAGTTAGAGTATTCACCTTTATCCGTGAGCGTCATGTAGAACATGATGCCAAAAAAGACCATGAGCTCGTCCATAGTGGTGGGCGTGGTGATCAGAATCTCCTTGACAGCGGCATACCTGTTTGACTCCAGGACTACTTGTTTTCAAAAGTAGACGGGAAGGTAGGCAAAGAAGCTCGAACTAGCGGAATGGGCAAAACAGATGATCATAAGCTGGCAATAATCGCGTCTCAGCAGTACTATCATCTGGGTGCTCGTACAGATCAGCCGGTGCTTCCATTTCCGTGTCGGGCTCGAAACGCATATTCTTCACTGCTTCCACCTCTGCAAGACTCACTGGCAAAATCTGCTCGGGATCGTACGACTCGTACTCTCCTTCGGCCGACGCCACTTCAAGTTCATCAAGTGGTGCGTCCAAATTCAACTCCTCTTCAGTCCCCTTGTCGGTCAAATCTTGCCATGCCGGCTGATTAGGTACACGCACGAGAACTTGATGGTTCTCGATACCCCGTTGCACAGCCGCCACAGTGACGGCTTCCACCGCGTTTTGAAACTGACTATCAAGCCACATCAATTGGAGCATAGCTCCATTTTTTGGTTTCTTGATACGACGACATACTCGACCAACGGTGTAGGCCGTTCCTACACATCTGTATACCTTATCTGTCATCCACGGCCCTTTCGACGGCGAAAGGGCCACCAATTTCTTGACATAAAGCTGTTCAATCGTTGGTGTACCTAGGGTACGACTGCGGGAAGTGCTGGTTCTTGAAGTGCTGGGGCCTTCTTCCGGAGTCGCGATACTTTTATTGGTGCGGCCGAGATCCTGCGGACTTGATTCATCAGCTACACGGCTTAGGCGGGCAAGACGCGCTGGGGATCGTCGCCGTCTGCCACCTCCACTGCCCGATCCACCGTCTTGGCTACTCACAATGTCCACAGCATCAGCGCTGCCAGGCTGTCGTCTTTGTGGAGTGGCAATCTGCCAACGTCCAACATTACCTTCTGTGACTGCAGCGCTACCATTGACTTCGCCACAGCTTGCTTCCACATCCACACCACACGTTATCACGCCACAACCATCGTGATCTGCAGCTCGGCGGTGGCCAACCCCAGCTCCAGGAGCAGATAGTTCAGCGACAGAGTACTGCATGGTAGTAACGGCTTGGTCGAGGTCACGAGAAGCTTCGGACTGTACACCTTCAGCACCACCGCCATCGTCATTCACACCAACGCCACCATCTTGTATGGCTACTTGCTCTTTACAGCCGCGCAACCCCCGGCGCGCACGAAGACCACCTCTAGTTTGGAATTCCTTCCGGCCGCTTGTAGTGGACTTACGACGGTCACTATAAGCACCATCGGTACGACGGGCGTGGTCTCTTGGAGCTACAGATAAAATATTTTAAGTACACATATCAACACAGCGTACTCTGCAGAGCTACATACCCATACCACGAGTGAGGGATGCACCACCAATGTTGTTGTGTTCCGAGCGTGCGACTAAGTCCTGTGCGTTGGCAGCTACAGCCGCTACGCCATCTCCATCTCTGCACCATTCGTCGTGGTCGGCATTGAATGCAGTCACTTGAGCAGTGTGA